TTCAGCCTGCTTTTATTGTGCAGAGCTCCGTGGGCACGTGGTGGCCTGTTTCCATTTGTCGCTAACAGCAGGGGGTAATCGTGCTGACTCGGGTTCAGTTGGCTCTGAGCTTCACCTTCAACAGACCCAGCTCAACAAGACACGTGATTAGCTGAAATTTTGGGCTGTGGAAAAGTGCTTATATTCAGAATTGACTTTTTATTTGTAATTTCATTGCAGCAAAAATTGAAAAAGGAGTCAGTCATTTGGTCTTCTGATGAGTGGTTAAAATAATAGCTAGCATCAGGGAGGGGTCCATGTTGCAAGCTAGTAACACCACACTGATACCGTGAGTTATGTGTCACTTCCTAGTGGCTCATGTGGGGAAGATAATGCGTTTTACAGTGCAGTGACAATACAACCGCGCTGACTTGGTAGCAGCTCCTCTGCGCACGCCTTGGCTTCACAGGAGAGGTTGTAAAACACCATATGTTTGGGTAAATCATGTCCCTGGCTTCACAGCTACGCAGGGCCACAATCTCCAATCCCATCACAGGAGTGCTGGAGACAGCTTCGTACCGGATCAGCAAAAGGTAAGGCAGAGCCGTGAGCTGCCAAGAACAGAGGATGTAGGAGAGAGTTGAGAAGGAGAAAGTGAGATTTTCTCCTTCTTTTCCCCCTCAATAACTCATTCCATTTCTCCTTTGTATTCCCACCCATCCATTTCTCTATCCTTCCAAAGCTTAAAGGCTCTTGAGCTGAAACACAGACTCCAAATGAGAATGACTAAAGCTTTATACAGCATAGAAACATTTGAATACAATTTTTTATGTTTAGTGTGTTTTATATAAATATATTATCTTGTGATGCTTTCACAAATTACAAAGAAATAAGAGAGAAAAACATGCATTCTTCAGACTAGTGGTTATTTATGGTTTTGTTGGTTTGTTTGTTTAGAAAACACTAGAGGATTTTGTTGATACATTTCTGCTCAAGAGTCTGCTACAGAAAGGTTAACACAAGTAGACAGAAGAGGGGGAAACGTGTTACTCTTTCTACTAGCTGATTTTAACATAGTTACATTTTGTGAGGCAGGAGGTGTATCTGAGGCAATGATTAATTCCCGACTGATACATTTTCTTAGTTTTAAGTGGATAATTGCCTCATAGAATATTTGCTTGGCCATCCTTGACAATAACATTGATAACTAATGACCCAGTCTGCCTTTCTTTTTTTCTTTGTTTCTTCCTTTCCACCTGCCCGTCCTGTGTATCACTTTCCATTATCCTTTCCTCCTTCCGTTTTTTGTTTTTCCTTCAACCTCCGTCTCCTCGTGCTGCGGGAACTACTGTAGTTAAGGCGAGCCACGGTGCATGACCCCCAAACTGGGAAACTTACTACGGCCCAATACAGAGTCTCCAAGAGGTAAGGGGTCACAGGTCACCGGGAGGGCCACAATACCCTCCCCTATTTCTCATCCAACTTGAGCTTTATCTCTTTGCTCTGGCTAAATGATTCACTGAACCCTTCACCCAGCAAGCCCTGTGGAAAAAAATGAAAATGTTTAGCTACACCTGGAAAACCATAAACTCATCCTGTTAAGAACTATTATTGCCTGTGTAGTCATAAATCTGATAGATCATAGTCTTCTGTGCCTTAGACCAAAAAACATATAAAATACATAAATAGATTACATCATTGCTGTGGGTGAAATGTTTCTTCTTTAAAATGGATGTAGGCCCTGTCATTCACTTTGACCTCATCCCTAAATGTGTACTAACTTGTTGCATTTTACCACTGGTTGAGTGTTGTTTGTTTTAGGAAATAATTTAGTCTTTTTTAAACAGACACTGTATTTGTGAGCCATTTCTTCAGAGGAACCAGTGGATTTAGGGCTAATCACCACAGACATGGTGTCAGAAAGTAGTGAAAGATTTACTGATGTTTTCTTGGTTTTGACCTTTTCATGAGATTTGTTGAAATGTGGAACAACACCAGGCATAGCCTTTAAACTGACTTCTGGTCAATCACCAAATTAAGTTAAAACATAGTTTAAACCAACCTATACACTTGTCTATTGTTGTTTGTTGGTGTAGCTGAAATTTGCTTTGTTCTTTTAATGTTACCAAGCCATCCTTTCCAGGTTGTTTGAACTCCAAATCACTGAAGGAATGATTATGTTCTCATATGGGCTTATTAGAGTCATTGCATTCGAACTATGCTTTTTAAAAACTTCTATATCAGTGAAAAACGTCCATGGCCTGAGTCTGGATGCATATGCTCAATTATACAGAAAGTTTGGAAACTGCAAGTCTCCCCTTATAGTTCCAATGACTTTAACTTTTACAGATAGGATACTCATTGCTAGTTGAACTTGTTTAAAAATAGCAGGCTTAGCAACCCACCAAAACCCCCAAGTTTCTTTGGTTTTACCGTTTTTGGCAGTTAATGCTTGGGTCTGTGCATATGGGTGTAAGGGTGTGGTGTTCCTCGTGCTAGCCAGCATGTGTTTCTAAATACATTGAACATCTAGTGATAGAGAGAACAGATATACAGAAGAGATGAACTCAGAAGAGTTTGACCTCTCTTTGAACTGGTTGCAGGACGCACAAGGAAAGAATCTTTTGGTTCACATTTTTTCCAGCATCCCAACAAAAATATAATTCATCACAACACAGACTGAAATAAAAAGATGACTTATCTCAGTCTCTCTCTCTCTCTCTCTCTGTCACACACACACATCTTAAAGAAGATCTGCAGAAATTGTCAGGAATACTTCCACAAGGCAGTGGGGTGGGAGTCATCTCACAGGCTTTGTGATATCTTAAAAAATCCCTGAAATTTGAGAGCGTGTTGGAAGTTGAAATTAATTTTGTCTTTATCTCATGTGATAGTAGCTTCATATTAAGTGTGTTTCATATTGCAGTGTGGTTCAGTACCCTTGTTATCTGCATAATGTGGTCTGCAGAGCTAGTTTTGTCTTGTTTTAATAGTTCAGCAGTGAGAGTTCCTTGCCATGCTCAGTCAGGAGTTTATTTTATCAAGGGTTTATTTTAGACTTGGTTGTGAGAATGACTATGAACGGCATGTAGTGTCAGGAAAGCTAAATCCTGTAAACATTTTCCTGTAGGCCTCCACCAGGCTTTTGTGTTAATGCATCATAAAATGCCAACAGACTAAAATGCACATATTTTGGTATTGGAGCAACCTGTACCCTGAGCTGATCGGAGATTCTGAATTTTGGGCCATTTTTCTATTTTTAATTTTTTTTCATACTCTGCTTCTCTTTTAGACGATCTGATTGTCATGCACAGCTTCACCTTCTTTTTGAGCTTTTCATGTAAAGTTTTTAGCATGACCTGTCTCTCAGGCTCCTCTTTGAGAAGAAATCTTTACCACCATCTAGTGGACAAAAAGTGTGAAGCATGTTCCTCTTAATCAAATGGACTGATTTCCCTCCTGTATTCCAGTGCTTGGCTCACTGCCTATGAAGACCCTATGATTGAAAAGATCAACCAGAGAATTGAAGATCTCACAGGGCTGGAAATGGACACTGCAGAAGAGCTGCAGGTAAAGAGTGACTGACTCAACATTGTTCTTATATACACATGTAAAAGTAAATTCTAAAAATCCCTGCCCCTCACGACACACATTTTATATCTATCTGTTGGAACACCTGGTTTGAACAGTTGTGAGACATCATACTTTACTGATCTTTGTAGGTGGCAAATTATGGCGTTGGAGGTCAATACGAGCCTCACTTTGACTTTGGAAGGGTAAGACCCCTTGTGATTCACACAAAGTAATTTCTCTAAATGTTCAGTAGTGTTGAAATGGCAGGATATTAAACCTGATGTTGGCTCTCTCCCCACAGAAAGATGAGCCAGATGCCTTTAAAGAGCTAGGCACTGGGAACCGTGTAGCAACATGGCTCTTTTATGTGAGTAGAGTCTCGCTAAAGACACCTGAAGAACAATGTTAACTTCCACTGTGGCCAAACCAGACACTTCAGCTACTGTATGTCAAAATTTCTGGCAAGTCCACCCTCACAGGGACGTGCTATATAGACTATTTAACCAACTAAATATTATTCAATTAAAATTTAATTAAATTTGAATTAAGATCCCAGGTTTCTTAATATCTCATGATGCCCAGTGAGTTTGAAGTGAAATAATGAAGCAACGGTGCAGCCATAACACAATGGCATCAGCGTTTTAAATAGTCTACTCACTACAGGGACTGTTAAGTATTAATGAGGTGTTTGAACAAGCAGAAGCCAAAACTATTATATTGTCATTTAGTGTGAAATAAATGATTTGGAACCACTTTTATAGCATTTAAGGGAAATTATGTGAAAGATTAGTGTCCATGGATCAGAAGTTCAGGACAGGGTTTAAGTAAAAATGGATTACTTTAATGTAAATTTTTTAGGTAGAGGAATCTCATTAGGTTTTTTCCAACATGGAGTAAACAATCAATATTTTTTTAAATCGGTATTAAAATATAGTATGTGCAACTAGTCAGATGGACCCAGACCGTTCAACAGTTTAACTTACTAGAACTACAGAATTATATTTTTTTAACAGATAAACCCTGAGCTCTGCCTTCCTGTCTCTGTTATAGATGAGTGATGTAACAGCAGGTGGAGCCACAGTATTCCCAGATGTTGGTGCAGCAGTTTGGCCTCAAAAGGTAACCGCTCATGCTATACCACTCATTAATATCCATTACTGCTGACTCAGTTGGTGTGTCTGAATTTGTCCTATAATAAACCAGTTAAATGTTAACTCAATCTAATGAATTCCCAGGTATGTCTTGTCTTGAAGTGTATTACAAAAAATTATAACAAATATATATATATATAAATTGGGAAAACCCATTTAGTTGGCACATTGACAACACCCATTCACATGCTATTTCTCTCACGCACAACACAATCCTCTGAGTCATTGGGCTAGAGTCAAAATGCTTGGAGTTTTGACAATACCTGGTAATAAAGTTTATGTTTATGCTTATGCTTAATAGGATGACAACTCCATGCAAAGCACTTTAGGATCATGTACTATATGTAGTCACTTATTTGTTCAATCCTGTCATAGAAACAAATTTCTCAAGTCTTACACTTTTCAGCATATACTATATAACAATCCCAATCAATCACATATTAGCAAAGGTATACACACATGGCATATATAAATGGTACTTTCTGATTATCAGTTCATCTAACAAAGGTCTGTGAGATTCCTTGGAGGGTTTATGACTCTGTTAACCTTTGTTGCCTGTTGTTTGTGTGTATTCCAGGGTACTGCAGTGTTCTGGTATAATCTGTTTGCCAGTGGGGAGGGAGACTACAGTACCCGGCATGCAGCTTGTCCAGTATTGGTGGGCAACAAGTGGGGTGAGTTCCTCTTTGCCTGGTTCCCTATAAAACCATATAAACAGACCAATGTAAACATCTATTATAACAACACAGTATATTAATTTGAAAGCAACGTAACCTAGCCTGATAAGTGTGTAATCGAATTTATAAAGGTTGAACATTTGAAATGTGTCCAAAGTAATCAAAGGGCTAGATTAAGGTTATGGTCTTTTTTTGTCTTTTTGTCTTTAGTATCAAACAAATGGATCCATGAACGAGGCCAGGAGTGGCGGCGACCTTGTGGCCTAAATGAAACTGAATGATGGAAACAGAAAACCTCCCTGTTTATCACTCTGCTTCCTTGTGGCCCACCCAGGACCAAAGAGCACTGCTGCAGATCACAGATGATATATATGGATGTATGGGGTCCATTCTCACTCCCTCTCTACAAACACTACTTTTCCCCCAAGTTATATTTTGAACCCAGAGATTGTTTGGGTTAACATCAAGCCTCTGGACAGTATTAGCTGTGACACATAAGGTTGTTAATGTTTGGACAGATAGTCTTAGTTTGGAGAAACACTCCCTTGTCACTCTCATGTGTATTTCTTTGCACTCTGTATGAACTCTTTGGCTCTGTGGTATGTATGACACTAGAGACCAGTTCATGTTTTTAAGAGGCTTCTCTGATTGATTGCATTTCTTTAATTCTGTGAACAGAGCATATGGCCTGTAGTTTTTTTAAGACAAAATGAGATTTATTTTTTATTTTTTTTAAACATTTTTTAACATAAACAGTGAGGCTGGAATCTATTTATTTGTAAAACTGCGCACACCACTTTCATATAACACTCTAATTGGCTTTTTAATTAAAGTAAACTTTTTCCTTGTATGTTACTTTACAAAGAAATGGCATACAGTAGCTTCAGTGAATTTGCCGCTTTTTAATTGGTAGCAATTTCTGTTTTAAGTAACTTAGTGTTAAAAACAAAAGTTAATGCTGTATGAAAGGAATGAAAGGACAACAGAGCACATTAGAAAATGGTCAGACTACAAAAACTTTAAAATCTGACTGCACTCCAGAAAAGTGATTTTGGCAAAAACAAAAAGCACATATAAATTGTATAACTAACCAGAACAGTTTATGCAGTTAAGTATCACATATCACACACCTTGCCTGAAAGGCACAATGTTTTTAACTCACTGAATGGTAATACTATGACATATTGTTCAGTGTGTTGCGTACAAATGCAATGGCACACTTGCACCAGGACACAGATACATCAGGGTTATGTTTCACAAATGTGTTCATCCTGATTGTCCCAGGACCTAAATAACCCTCAGCTGCTGCCATGAAGGAACAATAAACTATAGAACCTGAACAAAAGGGAAATAAAAGAGGGCTGAATCCACTTCATTGACACATAACAGATTTAAATTCCCCCCTTTTTTCTAAATAGAGTGATTCTGGGCGGTTTGTAACAGTGTCCATGTGACTGGTGTTTTTCAGTGTCAGGTATATGGGTTTTCCAGGGGAGAAACATTTTATTTATATGTCCCATTTGTGTTGTATTGTCTTAAATGAAAGTCTGTTTTTTCTACATTAAAGGCTTTTATTAATCTCAAAGTGTCCTGCAGTGTGGGTGGGTGGGACGGTGGTGTGTGTGTGTGTGTGATGGGAATTTGGGGGAGGGTATGAGAGCATCACGTGACTGTCCAGTACTAATGATACTGGCGCTTCTTCGTCTGTGGCAACCAGGGCCACCCTTCTGTCAGGTCGGGAGGACACGGGCAGGTGTGAGAGACAGAGAAAGTCAGGAAACTATCCCGTCCTCAACATTGCAGTTAATTACAACTGTCTGTCCTAAGGGATAAAACGCATTTGAGTTTCGGGGGAACAGAAAGTAACGGCACAATGATGATGACCCACGTGGAGACCACCGTGCACTATGATAACGGCTACGAGGATGAGTACATGATACAGGAGGATGAGTGGGACAGGGACATGCTGCTGGACCCCGCCTGGGAGCAACAGCAGAGGAAAGTAAGTCCAAGAATAAAAGCACCTGGGTCAAAATAGTAAAACTTCATTGAATTCGAGCTACATTTACGCACGGTGGATGTAAATGAGGCATTTTTACTGACTCAGAATTAAGTTGCAGTAGAAGTAGTACACTTTCAAGTTAAAATATTTACACTTTACAATATCTTTAAGGTACTTAACGACACATAGGCTACGGGTCTGTAGGGACTAACATCAAGCAGGGAGAGGGAGCGAGTTGAAAGTTCCGGTTACATCTAAATAAAACTTTGACCACGGGAATTCCGGTGTTCTGGTTTACCGATGGTTACTTCTGTATGCTGTTGATCTATACTTCAAAATTTCAGCTTTAGCTCTGAAACTGAAGAATGTAGAACTAGAGGTTGATGCCAGGATAGCTTAGTTTATGACTACCCGTGTAGTTTTATTTTAAAGGACAACATCATTGAACTTCCGGTGTGGTTCTAGTCGTGCGCTGCCGACGTGACGCAGCCGAGGTCCAGGCAGGAAGGCTTGACGGACGGATGCGGTGGGTACCAGCTAACAATAGCTCGGCCTTCCAGCGGCTCTCCAGACCTCTGCCTCTCCACTGATACGAGCGGAATGCGAGCTGTCAACAGATGCTTCTAACACATGATGACGCTCTTGGGATCAGAATGGACGCTACATCTAATTTTAACATGGGGACCAAAAGGCATCATAGTAGGGTTAATCCAGTGTCCTTGGTGCGGAATTCTTTTGTTTATAGAAACCACGCAGAAATATTGTACCAGCACCAGATCAGCTCAATATAGCCTCGGCCTCCCACAGTGTCAGTTGGTTTTAGAGCTTAAACATTGGCCTGGACCTCAAACAGGGGCTCTTTGCACAACTGGCGGCCATCAGCTCTATGCCCATAACCTTCTCTGGATGACCAAACTGTGTATTTTCTGGTATCACAAGGCAGCAGCAACACCACAGTCAGGTCCCTGGTCCATATACACAGCTATTTTTCCAGTGTTCACCTTTTTACTGAATATAATTTGGAGCTGAGGAGTGCTCTTTTGAGAGTGGTTTATTTAAGACATCAGCTGTTCAACATGATTAGAACTGATAAAGCATCACTGTTGGCTGCATACAGTAACATTGGTATAGTGTTTCTTTTTGGCCTGCTAAGGGGTTGATGAAGTTGTTCTGTGCACATCCTGCCTGCCTTAAAATAACAGTGAGTGTTGCCACAAGGGTTTTTTTTTTTTTTTGCTCCATTAGGGGCCACTTTTAGTTGCTTTTTCTAAATAATATTTCGTCAGCAGCCTGAAACCACTTATCTACCTCAGTCTGTGGTTCGGTGAGGCTTATTCCCAGTCCTGCTAGCAGCTGTGGTAGCCTTCTGTGGTGGATATTAGTGTAATGACTCTTATGTGGACCTTTTTGAATCTGTTACCTCACTCTTTATCAAGGAGACTCGAGACTGCCTGTGCATGTGAAAGAGAACAATACTCAGATTTTATCCATGTATTAAGCCGAGTCTGTACTGTGCTGTGTTAAGTGAAAGTGTTATACTGAAGTGTTATGGATAAGTAATGAATGCATTCATGTGAGCTAAATAGAAATCAGAATGAGAAACAAATGAGAAAACATTATGATTCATTCCCAACTCAATATATGTTCAGCATGTTAAACCTTTATTTTCCATTCTCCTGGACAAAGCCTGTCAGCTTCTGACCTAGTAGCACCCCAGAGGCATCAGGCAGTTCAGTGACAGGTTTGGCCCTTGCTGGTTGTGATTCATACATATTTTTAGCTTCGGTCGTCACTGGTCAGTAGTGCTGTACATGGAGGTGGTGAGGTTGGAAAGTTGGCTGTAGGGTTCTGCCACTGTGCCCGAGTCAAATATAAGGATCAGCAGGCCACATTTTTCAACAAAAAGGACAGCATTTCTCTGTCATATACTGGACACTCTGGGGACTCACATGGTGTGAATTGTCCAAAGACTGTAATATGGTATAATAAAGTGCCAAATATGAAAAATGCTAACATGATGCTAGCTTTTGCTTCCATTCTTCTCTGCATGACTATTAAACTGATAAAAGCTGTTAATAATAAATGTTTTAAAGTGTACTGCTAGCATAATACTTGACCACTGACTTTAAAAGTAGCTACATAAAAAAGTACGAGTACTCATTCAGAGCTATTTGTTTTTGTGAAGATTGGAGAATATAAAATCAAATTGTCAAGCACAAGTCTATAGCATTCATTTAGCTTACATTTTGCTGTTTTATTTTTACAAAACATGTAGGATATGAGCTGCAGAATCTGTTGATCAGCACATTGGTTTATCAGAATTCCTATCTGATAAATACTTTCATTATGGCCAGAGCTGACATTTTTGACACAGTGGTATTTATTCATCTTTGCGATGCATCCTTCAGATGATTTTAAATGTGAATTTTGCACTAAGCTCCCATTGTTTAGCTGTGCCTCCTGTCTTCATACCTCAGCACAGTAATACGTGTGACCTGAAATCATACATGTGTTGTGTGCTGATAAGCCTGTCACCTTTCAGCTATAACCAATCATGCTGTAAGTAACACAAAGTGACGTGAGGGGAAAACTTGCTCTGTATGCACGTGACACTTTCACTCATGTTGACATGGCGAGACGGTTTGATGTTTTTCCTCTCGGTCTCTTATCATGATTCACAGCAGAGTGCTCTAAATTTAACACCTTATATCTGTTGGAATGTGAACTGTGGTCGGCTCCCAGCTTTCATCCATATAGCGCTGAGTGCCGCTGCTGGCTATTGAGACACTATAAAAATAGGAGAAAGACAATGAGCCTGTCTTAACTTGATTTACAGTATTTCAGTCCCCCCACATTGAGTACATTTGTTCAGATGGCTGTTGGCTATGGAAATATAGCAAGCAACAGTTATAATTGGACAGTAATGAGTCACTGAAGGTTCATCTGAGACCGTAACGCTGGTCAAAGAGGGTAACATTGATTTGGTATATAGTGTTTTAATGAAAACATTAAAAGTTGTTGTCTCAGTGTGTTCAGGTCTACTGCAGAGAAGAAGATCATGCTTATAGTTTAGTATATGTAATGTAAAGTCCAACATGACTTGTTTTCAAACTGTTCAATATGCATTCTTATAACTATTGTCTGTGGTGCATTAGCAGAGCTTCAGACACAAAATATATTTTCATGCAGCTGACCCCAGACTCCCTTTCCTGTTAGACCTTTACAGCCTGGTGTAACTCCCACCTGAGGAAAGCTGGTACTCAAATTGAAAATATTGAAGATGACTTCAGGAATGGACTAAAGCTCATGCTGCTCCTGGAAGTTATCTCAGGTTAGATCACCGAAGGATGACATTTCTTTTATAACGTCATGTTCTCCTTGTTCCTTTCAGTTTTATATTCTTTGTGATATTACACCAGTAGGATAATGTACATTTTATTTCACTGTGCACTGTAGTTAATTTTGTGGTTTACTTTGCTTTTACTGTGATTTAACTGTAATTGTATCAGTTTAATGCTTTTGGTAAAGAGTGCATAAGGTCACATATGTACAAAGGGTGCCACATAATGTTGTGTTTGCAGGAGAGAGGTTATCCAAGCCAGACAGAGGGAAGATGCGGTTTCATAAGATTGCCAATGTCAACAAGGCACTGGACTTCATCACAAGCAAAGGAGTAAAACTGGTCTCTATTGGAGCTGAAGGTACTCAAAGCCTTCCTGTATGTATGAATATACTACAATCCAGCAGGTGTCCAATATGAGCTCATAAATCTAAAATAATAAGAGTGACAGTTGGATTTAATTTTTCATTATAGTGCAGACTGATTGCAACAGCTTGTTTGTCTTTCAGAGATTGTGGATGGTAATGTAAAAATGACTCTTGGAATGATCTGGACTATCATCCTCCGCTTCGCCATTCAGGACATTTCTGTGGAAGGTGAAATAATAAAATTCAAAGAATCCAAATCTACTTAATTTTCTATAGACATTGTGTCTAATGAATGTAGACACAGACAGCTAAAAAGGTAAAGGACAACATGTATGATGTAAAATGTAACTTCAGAGGTTTTAGAAGGCAAAGCAATATGACCTGTGCAGAATGGAAGTATACAATGTAGCCACTACTGTGTAACCAGTTCTTGTGAATTCATTTCATCCTCAGAAACATCTGCCAAGGAAGGTCTTCTTCTGTGGTGTCAGAGAAAGACTGCCCCTTACAGGAATGTCAATGTCCAAAATTTCCATATCAGGTCAGTGCTGAACACATTAAATACTGGTTAGTGAGTCTTAAATGTATTTTGGTTATAGTGAAAGTTTATATGATCAGTAGCCAACTAACTGTAGGTTATCCTCTCAATCCATACGAGTAAGTAAGTGTAGGAATTATAAATGCCAGCACATATTCCAAAAATGCAGTTTTAATTTGATTTGGTCACAATACAATTCACACTTTGTTATAATAGTACATATCACAGCAATCTGGAGTTTGTCCAGTGAATAAGTCAGTCTTAGCAATATACCAGGATAAATACAAAACATCATGACTTGAGAACAGCAAAAGGCAGCCACAAAGTGCTGTTGCACATATAATAGTTCGTGTTGGAACTGGACCCCAGCAGCTTCACCTCCAGCTACCATTTTACCTCTCTGAACCTCTCTGAACTGACATGTTGGTTTTCTCTGCTCATCAACTGGTGAAGCTGGAAGGATGGCCTGGCTTTCGCTGCCCTGATTCATAGACACAGACCAGACCTCCTCGACTACTCTAAGCTCAACAAGGTGTTGTGTGGTTTCACTTGTAACCAGGATGCTGTGTCTCAGTCCCGAACACTAACAGACTGATTTCCACAAAAATTAACACATCTGTCACAGTGTGAAGTGAAAAAAATACACACTGAACTCAGAATAATGGCACTTTCTGATGTGTTAACTTGTGTTGTGAAACACTAAGGAAAACTAGTCTGTATATAGGAGACCATTTCCTCTGCTAATTACTTCTCTGCAGTGCTCACCTGGTTGCCTGTTTTGATTGACTGTCTGATACAGAGAAAGGTTTGATCCAGGCATAATTCCAAAATATAGCAGTATGATCTTGAAGTACTTACAACTGCTGTGGTATTGTTTATGGCACTTTTGGGTAAAGCTGTGGGAAGTCTATGTGGTTATCCTGTTTGCTGTAAATAAACAGCATGATATTTAGTTAATATAATGCTACTTTTATGTAGTGATGTTTCTTCTTCACAGCACAGTGTTTTTATACCAAGTAATTGCATTTATTTAGTCTCAGCTCATCCATTATTTTTAACTAAAGCAGTTTACTTGGCACACAATTCAGCATAATTATCATAAAAAGCTTGTTGTTTCAGTTTTAGGCACCCAACTGTGCCCACTGCAACTTTGGTTTTAATGGTGGGGATATGTGGCCTCTCTTTTATGACACAAACCTGTAGAGAAATATTCAAATTGAAGCATGTCTACCCTCAAATTGTGACAAATCAATATAGAGATAAACTTTTGTCATCCATTAAAAATGTTACATAATATTTAGCATATGAGTGTGTGGGATTTATGTGATATTTTGGGCAAAAAAAATCCACACCTCATTTAAATGTTCTGGCTTTAATGGATACCCAGGATTGTCAGTGTTTGTGTATAAACAGGTGAGGGCCTCAGTGAGCTGTGCTGCTTATTTGCTGAGCTAGAGAGCACAGCTGACAGTCCTCCCGGGTTTGTCAAATAGTAAAAATATGCAGCTAACAGACCCCTTCCCTCCTGGAAGAAGGTGCTGTCTTAGACAGATGGGAAAGACAAGGCTGCTGTGGGGAATATTTGAGGCTTCTCTTCCACTGCCGAGGTTTGTTTTTAAACAAAAGTTACAAAAGCGTTTTTGCCCATATGGCTTTATAGTGATTTTATCCAGCAAATTCCTGCATCCAACCCTGGATAGTCACAGAAACATGAGCCTAGTCTCTGGAGAACTCACGCTTAGCTTTACCTTTGCTATTGTTTATGCTGTCACGTAGTGTTTGCCAAGTAAGAGGCTGCCAATCTGCATAAAAGTCAGAAATTTATTGGTGAAAGCTTTAGCATCACTTCAAGGATCGTGTTGATTTTCACAATTAGAAAAGGACACTCAAGGTAAATATGAGTGATGATGCACACACACAGTCTACCATATCTATTCCTCTCTACTGGTTTTTCTTAGACTTTCCATCCTTTTGACATACATATCCACGCACTTAGTCACACTTCGACTTTCCAGTTCTGCTCATGCTGCCAGGAGACAGTTGCACTGTGCACCAGGCAGCTGTTGAGTCTGGCTCTAGGTGAGCGTGTTCATTAAGCTTGCAGTGTTACAGCCTTCTGAGACAGCTCTGGCTAGGGGTGCATACACAGAGGCCTTGGGGTATCCCTCTATCCATCTATCAATGTATCACCCCATCCATCAATCTATCTGTCCTACTTTGGATCTACGAGCAGCTGGCCCTGTCATGTTGTGTGCCAGCCCCCACCCCTATGCACACACCCTTATGGAACAGTGATACAGGCATAAGGACAATATGATGGCATGATCCTTTTACCCTACTGCACTCTCACTGACTGTCCCATTAGCAAAGAAAGGTTCACTGTCAGCTGAATGCACCACTCACTGTTGTGTGAGAATACTTTAACTTCAAGAAGTGTGATACATAATGCTGTGGTAGAATGTTTACTTAAGTCACCTTTTATTCAGTTACTTAGGAGCTGGTTAATTTATGGCAATTTATCACAATGGTTTAATTGTTCAAGTCATAAAGTAAAAATAATCATGAATGTCAAAATGTGTCTTTGTTGCCATCTGACATCCCAAAGACATCACTTTGACATGTTAAAGGATAGAATATGAGTGCTTATTTGAAAAAACGAATCAATAATAGCAATAATCATATGGTGCAATCTAGTTTCTTTCAGATAAAAGCCCAGCCTATATGAAAATTGACTTTCTCACATTGGCAGTTGATGGTTTCATGGTACTGGTAAAATTGCAGTAATCAACGTGTGAATGAGCATCCAGCTTTAGGTGAAAACTAGAAAATGTAAGTTTTTAGGTTTTTGTGTAGAAGCTAAAAAAGTTAAAGCAAAGTTAAGTAAAAAAAAAAAGCAAAGCAAAATGAAAACTAATGCTATTAAATTAATGTGCATGTACAGTAGGTAAAGTGTATAATAGGTCTGCCATAGCACAGAGGTCAGTGCGGTGGCATTTTAAGTCTGGCATTGCTGTTCAGTGATGTAGAGTTGTGTTTCTTTATTTAGGATGATCCTCTGCGGAACCTAAACCTGGCTTTTGACATAGCTGAGAAACACCTGGACATTCCCAAAATGCTGGACGCAGAAGGTAATGTTTTATGGGATGCATGTAGAAATATAATAAGTTATATTATGTGATAATTTAAATAGACTGTAAAATAGAGTGTTAAGTAGACTAAGAATGCATGTTTGTTTCTCTTTCCATTCTCTAAAGTCATTTTTTAGTTTATTGATTTGTCACCATTTTCTTTCTGCAACCTTGACTTTTCTTCCCTGTCGATGTCGTAGATATCATCAACACCCCCAAGCCTGATGAAAGAGCCATCATGACCTATGTGTCTTGCTTTTACCATGCTTTCGCTGGAGCTGAGCAGGTATAGTGATTACACCTATACCTTCACCAATTTGTATTTTTACATGAGTTTGCTACCCCTCTTCAGTGCGTATGTATAGATTTTGGTCAGTGTATATAATGTGGGAATAATGTTGGCAGAGATTTTGGAAGAATCACTGGGAACATAGTCCAGTGTGTTACCTTGCCGATGTAATTACATTATTCCTGTGGCCTGTGCTTTCAGGCAGAGACAGCTGCCAACAGGATCTGTAAGGTGCTTGGTGTAAACCAGGAGAATGAGAAACTGATGGAGGAGTATGAGAGACTTGCCAGTGAGGTAAAGTAAGATTAGAAGTTTCATTAAAAGATATAATCTTTTATGATGATGACATCTGTTGTAATGAAACCTTTGATTTTTCAAAGCAATATTAAAACTTAGAACCTTTATGGATAATTGTATATATATAGTTCATATTACAATTAAGTTAGTCATCGGCCTGGTACTGTACATGAAAGTTGTTAAAATTGTTAAAACGTCTTTCATTTCTCCACGTGTGTCCCATTGCTATGACAAGCTGAGACCCATCTTCTGAATAAATTAATAATATACTGTATCACAGTCTTTTTGACACTCCTAACTTATCATATCGGTCTCTTGCCTCTCCACTTATTCCCATGTTGTCCATGTTCCTCCCAGCTGCTGGAGTGGATCCGCCGCACCACTCCCTGGCTGGAAAATCGAACTCCAGAGAAGACCGTGGCAGAGATGCAACGGAAGCTGGAGGATTTCAGGGACTACAGGCGCCAGCATAAGCCCCCTAAGGTTCAGGAGAAGTGCCAGCTGGAAATTAACTTCAACACCCTGCAGACCAAGTTGCGCATTAGTAATCGCCCTGCTTTTATGCCTTCTGAGGGGAAGATGGTATCTGTAAGTCACGACTTAATGCCTTCATCTGCTTATAAATTCAACAGTCATGAAGTGTTAGTAATGGCGTGCACCACTGTTTATGTCAAGTCTCATGGCAATAGAAGTGAAATCTTAGATAGGAATAAGGAGTAACAAGCAATGGCCCGGTATAGAGGGTGACTTTTGTTTGACTCTTTTCTGCTTTGTATAATGTTTGCTTATCAATTATATCAATATTGCCAGGATAGAATAAATTTGATACATCACAAGTAAGTAAACTTAAACTGTGATTTCTTTTTCAATGTGTTTACAGGACATAGCTAGTGCATGGCAGGGCCTGGAGCAGGCAGAGAAAGGCTTCGAGGAATGGCTCCTGACAGAGATCCGTAGGCTCGAGAGGCTGGACCACCTGGCAGAAAAGTTTCGCCAAAAAGCCACCAATCATGAGAACTGGACCAGCGGTGAGCATGCCTGCTCTTCTGTCTGCCTCTCACTACCATGTCTACGTGTTTATCTGTTAATTTTGACTTATTAGCTACTGTTTAACTACAACATCTGTATTCCTTTTTCTTTGCCTGCTTTTCAGTATTTAGGTTGTTTCCTTTCACTTTGGAGTTGATTTAGACTTGTACCTATGAGATCTGACTGAAGCTTTTAGAGTCTGTCCACTGCAATTAGCCTGTAGTGGCTTGTGTTTAGACCTAATCTACTAATAAGCTTGTTGTTGTTTTCTGTTACGTCATCATTCTCTCACTTTGTGTACGCACACTATTCAGGTAAAGAAGTGATGCTCTCCCTGAAGGACTATGAAACAGCCACCCTGACAGAAATCAGAGCGTTGCTTCGAAAACACGAGGCCTTTGAGAGTGACTTGGCAGCCCACCAGGACAGAGTGGAGCAGATTGCTGCCATTGCACAGGAACTAAAGTATGCACTCTCAATAGCAGATGTTTGCAGTCATGTGTCATGGAAGCTCAGGAGTATGCTTTCACTTCTAGCAAATGCAACATCTGGCAGGGGGGCTAACAGCAATATCATATAAAGAAATCATGTTTTCTGTTTTTCTCTTGTAAATATCATTTTAATAGCATTTTGGCTTTAGACACTGTCACATACTGTGGGAATTGCCTGGACAGATCATGCATGAAAAACTACAAATGACATATCCAACAGAACACTCACATAGGATATGCAGCAGTTTAATGGTCCATAAACATCTGTTCTCTTGTTCACATTTGAGACAGCACAAGAGTAAAATAGTGGGAGACAATCAGTGCAGAAAATACTTTGGATCAGTAGAAACTTGTTCTCTTAAAACTGTGATTTGATATGATTCTGAACCACATTTGAAAAAGTATAATTGAAAATGACTTAAACCCTCTTCTTCTTAGTTAAGTGCATGTCGGTACAGTGTATCTAAATAAAAGGGTGAAGGGTGTGGTTCAAAGACATGCCGATATTTCCATTCACCATTCACTGACGAACACTGATGGCCATGAGGCCATCTGATTCCATTACTACCTCCTTGGTCTGGGATTGGCTATGGAGTATTTCTTATTTCGTATTTAATCGGTGCTCTACAAGAGGAGGCTGCCATTTCAACCTACAACCAAAATGGCTACTTGGCCTCCAGCATGGTATGTGAAGCCAAAATACTGTATTTGCGTGCTCATTTTTTACTTATGGCTTGATTGTTTTGTTAAGTTTTTGACCATGCTGTTTTCTTTTACAGTTGGTTGCTCCTCATTGCTCTGTTAAGAGGGAATGCTCACTGGTTTCCTGCTACAAAAGGTAAAGGATGCAAGTTCACTAAGAATACAAATGTACTTAGATTCTTACAAATTTGCATGGTTCAAATGTTTTTTAGCGTTTTAAATTTTTACCGCTAACATTTTGCCCCCTAGGCTCGAGCCAGCATAATCCATAGGAGGGTAGTTGCTCTAACTGGAGATGCCTCCTGACCTTAATTATAGCTCATCCTGAGATGCTCTTGCTCAGCCTACCAATGTGAATCATTCTGCTGTCTCATTCCTGCATGAATCAGCGAAGGAAGGGGTATATCTAGCCCTGAAACCTGTCCGGCAGGCTCCTGTCATACTCCAGATACCCCATGGCCACATGGCTCAAACCAGGCACTGGCACACCCCCTCCCTCAAATCTTTGCTATAGGCAGGTGAGCTTGACCACTATGAAGAAAACTTCAAATAAGGTCATTTGGAAAGGGAAACCAAGGAGCTTAACTTTGCACTGCCACCTCCTCCTTATCTGGGACCTGACTTCCAGACTGGTGAGTTCAGTTACTCTCAGTCCATTTTTGAGTATGGAAATGAAATGAGGGAAACAGAAGAATAAGGTTCCATGCCACCAGGCATGACCAAGACTTGGGGCAGTCAGACTGAAGTACCTCTTCTCAACTGATCTCATTCCTCCTGGCAGCTTCACACCTCCAGTCAGCTATGAAACTGGAAGAGACCACTGGGATCAAGAACATTATGAGAGATACCCCTTCACATTACTCAAAGTCCACTCATCCCCACTCAGAGCCAGGAGGTTTCCAGTGATGTAATGGCAGCAGCCCTAGGCTTATACAATGTGTAACAGGACTGTAGGTTTTGAACTTATTGAAGCAGATCAGTGTAAAGGCAGCTCTAGTAGTTCTAAAATGTTTGTTTTCTTCTGTGTTCATGTGGTTCCAAATAAATGCTGAAATAACACAAATGTTTCTTCTTTTGTGGGTTGGCTAGACTTGACTTTTACATTTGACTTGATTTATCCAAAGCATTCAACTGTAGGGCAAACTCAAGTACTGAATAAAAACTTTGTAAAATCCTCTAAGCGTCACTGTCACAGAGCCTTTGAACGGTGTGATAAATCTAAGAAGTTCAAGTGCCTTGTCCATGAGGATTTGTGTTAAAATGTGACTGATATTTCAAGGGTCCATGTGGCCATGGGACGGAATCCAAACAAACAGTATCCTTGTGTTGTCCATGTCCAGAGATAATATTGAATGAACCAGGGCAAGATTTTGTGCCAATAAAATAGCATTGTGCTTGTAAATACAGTAGCATTGTCTACACCATTGCAATGAGGCCATCTGATTCCTATTTAAATCCATTTTGAATGGTAATCATAGGTGTAGTGCTGCCGTAACGCACCGAATGACGCTCCGCCACTAGGTCTACTGGCACAATGTGGTTGAAATTCATAACATTGTATTATTGTGAGTGCTTGGTGATCTACACCAGTGAACAGTCTACATTTGGGAGTCGGTTTAACACTGCAGCAGAGAGCATCTACAGTATTTTCTTATAGATTCAGGAGGCATTTGATGACTAGTCATGACAAATATTGGGAGGACAAATTTTTGTTTTTCATATTTTGGGTGGGACCTGTCCCCCATGGAAATTATGTCCTAGCAATACGACTGTAACATTCACCTTGTGACAAATGACTAATTCAGTTCAATTTTATTTGCATATTGTCAAATCACAACAAAAGTCATCTCAGGACACTTTACAAAGCAAGCCCTAGACCTTACTATTATTAATATTATAGATGAAAAACCCAACAAATCCCCCTTGAGCAAGCACTTGGTGGCAGTGGGGGGAAAAAAACTCCCTTTAATGGAAGAAACCTCCAACAGAGTAAGTAAAGAAATAAATCATATATATATATTTTTTAAATTAACAAAAAGGAACCTAAATGCCTGGGGAACAAAATAACACTAAAACTCCTTTTCACAACTGAAACAAACAGCAGTATGCACTTTGTTTTTCCAGTGAACTGGACTACCATGACGTGGCTGCTGTGAACCAGCGTTGCCAGAGCATCTGTGACTTGTGGGACAAGCTGGGAACCCTTACTCAGAACAGCAGAGAGGCACTGGAGGTGGGGCTTTTCAATTTTCAATTTTCAAGGCTGGTGTCAATGATGAGATTATTATATTTGAAATAATGACTGAAAGCAGACAAAAACATCCATATCCATTCGACCAGTTTGTCTCTTAGGCTTACAATGTTTTTTCATTATAGCTAGTGAGTTCCTAAAACGTGAAGGATTAGTATTAGGATATATTAGTCTCCACAAGAGTGTGCTCATGCTCTGCACTTGCCACAATAGATGCAGAATAAAGATGCATCTCAAACTATCTTAATCAGAATGTCAATGTAAGCTTATTTAGGTCTGTCAGTGACATCTGAATGGTGAAGACACAACTGATGGATGAGGAGAGATAATTGGATCCCCTCTAAAATCCCTGACCCATATAGCAGAGTAACATTTGGAGAGTGGGGGCAAAAAAGAGCAATAGATGTAAGAGTGACTGGCTTAAAGCCCACTCGCCATTTCCTATGAGTCATGCCGGCCATTCCAGACCCGCAAATGTGTGAAGCCCTGGGAAAAGGGCCAAGGATTAAGTCTGAATGACAGGGACAGGGGTCTGTTTTCTGTCTACCTCCTGCTCCCCATCATCCCCTGCTGAAAGACAGAGTGGTCAAGAACAACCAAGCTAAAGTTGGGGGGGGGTTACAAGGCCAACCAGTGCTATGCAGCCTGGGATTAGTCATCAAAACAGGTGTTTGTGAGATATGAAGATGATGACTCCTCCTTAGTTTCAGATAGAAAGCTTTCTGGATTTAAAAATATACAAAAAAACATGAATGTGATATATTGTTATTCTGTCAGCGGACAGAAAAGCTGCTGGAGACTATTGATCAGCTGTTCCTGGAATTTGCCAAGAGGTCAGCTCCATTCAACAACTGGATGGAAGGAGCCATGGAGGATCTGCAGGACATGTTCATAGTGCATACTGTTGACGAGGTCCAGGTATGCTTCAAGTACTTACAGCACAGCAGAATCAGACATTTACTGTTATTTGTTAACATTGCCACTCACAGTATTGCCCAGGTAAGATAATAGTCACATTTTGCCATTTCTGTGTTTCATATTTGGGTTATTGTTATTTTTAAGACTACATTCTGTTGCTTTGCATTGTAAATATTGATGTTGTGTTTAATGTTATATAGTCTGTCAAACATAGTACTATCACTCTTGACAAAATTAAAATTTTATTAACATTTCAGGACTTCTCTTTTCCCCTTTCAGAGTCTAGTTGCAGCACATGAGCAGTTCAAGGCTACTCTCCCCGAGGCAGACGCAGAGAGACAGGCCATCTTGGGAATCCACAGTGAGGTGCAGAAAATATCCCAGAGCTATGGGATCAGGGCCAGCATTATCAACCCCTACAGCACCATCACAACTGAACAGCTTCTCAACAAGTGGGAAAAGGTACTGTAGTTGCAGCTTTCAAATTTACTTACAGGTTCATACAGTATGTTGAGGAATAAAGTAGTTCTAAGCATTTATTATGAAGGAGGAGCAAGAGTGCATTTTATTGATAGCAACGAATAAGTGCTGCTCTAATATTTCATCATTGAGTTGGATGATTCAGCACCCAGTAAGGATCTGAAGCATATAATCTAAATACCCTGGCATAACGGTTTATTGTTAATTGACTCTTTTCAGGAGGAGCCTGCATCAACACCAACTAAGCCCTCTGTGTGTGTTTTATAGGTGAAGAAGCTGGTTCCTCAGAGAGACAGTGCCCTCCAGGAGGAAATGGCACGGCAGCATGCCCATGAAAGGCTGAGACGCCAGTTTGCTGCCCAGGCTAATCTCATTGGACCCTGGATACAGGCCAGAATGGAGGTTAGACATACAGGCTTCATAAGCAATTTTGCAATTATCTCCTTCTTAATCAAATTAAGACCTAAAATAAAAGATAATTATATTTAAATGCACTGTACATAAGGGAGGTACAATGATGGTGGCTTTCCTGGTGATGATAATCATAATTGAATAATGGCAAGTAAAATGACTGAATATCATTATACACATACAATTTTTATTTATCAAATGATAGAATTTACTCTTAGCCACAGATAAATGAGTCCCTGCAGTATCAGTAAGCAAGCCATCAGATCTTTAGACAAGCATCTTATGATCTAAATTGGTCCAAAAATTAAGTTGACCATGTTGCATGTCTTATCCTAACAGGAAATTACGCGCTGCTCCCTGGAGATAGGAGGCACCTTGGAGGATCAGATGACTCAGCTAAAGCAATGTGAGCACATCATTGTTACTTACAAGCCCAACATCGACAAATTGGAGGGAGACCACCAACTAATCCAAGAGTCCCTGGTGTTTGATAACAAACACACCAACTACACTATGGAGGTACAAGACAGTGCCAAACACATACACTCTTATGGAAGATAAACAGCTCTGCATGGAAACTGAAAGTCACAAATGTATAAATACAATTATAAATATACCTTTAGATACCCGGTTTTAAATATTCATTATTCATTAAAAAGCTAAGTGAGTCTTCTCTGTGTGAACATGCCTGCTCTGTCACCACATCAACAGCATATCCGTGTTGGATGGGAGCTGCTCCTTACAACCATCGCCCGAACCATCAATGAGATTGAGACCCAGATCCTGACCCGGGATGCCAAGGGCATCAGCCAGCAACAGATGAATGAGTTCAGATCCTCTTTCACCCACTTTGATCGGGTATAGTTCTCAGCCATCAAATCCTTGAAGTCTTTTTTTATGCCATTTGACTGATCTAAAGCAATCAGAGTAATTTAGAAGCAGACCAGGGGGGTAACCAAGTATTTACAAATAGTTTTGTAACTATGAGCATTCTGACCCGAATAGAGAGATATTTGTGTGCAAGATGCTGAAATCTTGACAGACCTAGGAGCAGTGTTCAGCAGCTGACCCTACATGTGACTCTCAGCAGAGTAGGTAGATTAATTTTTTAACATTTTTCCCTTGGCCATCATAAACTTCCACAAGTAATGCATTAAAACGATAGCTGCTATTTTACTATGGAATGTTAATCCATATTTTATGCATTTTTAGTAAGGTTCTTATAGTTTTGATGGAAATACAACAACAGAACACTTATCTAAGTGATGCTGCTTCATTTATCCAGGCTACATCTCACCATGGCAGACAAACAGCATGGATGATACACCCAGCAAATACAAAGTGTGCTGTACTGTATATGCTGTACTTAGGTGTACCTCTGCTATGTTTCAATCTTTTCTGTAATCTTTCCTGATTTTATTTCTGGTATGTTGAACCTGCACTTTGGCCTGGGACTGTAGAAGAAGAATGGAGCAATGGAAACTGATGACTTCAGAGCCTGCCTCATCTCTATGGGCTATGACTTGGTATGGTGTTTCAAATATGGGTGGGTGGATGGGGCTATGTTATCTGTTGCTTTCACAATTTTATGTTTGCTGTCTTTGACACATATGCTGTACATGCTTGTCTCATTCTCCCTTCATGCCTTTCTAAGGGAGAGGTGGAGTTTGCCCGTATAATGATGCTGGTGGATCCCAATGGTACTGGAACCGTCTCCTTCCAGTCTTTCATTGACTTTATGACCAGAGAGACTGCCGATACAGACACTGCTGAGCAGGTTGTGGCATCCTTCCGGATCCTGGCAGCTGAGAAGGTATGTGTGTGTTGTGTTTGTGTAACTTACTGGCACATGAGGAGATATTCTCATCTGACACTTATCTCTTCTGTTTCAGTTGTTATTTCCAATAATCTGTCATGTCAAGCTGATTTGTGATCTAGAGTTTTGTTCATGAGTTAAAAATGGAAGAGGGGACATTAGCATGCATCATTCTGGAAAAGTTTCATGAAACACATTTTCTTTCTGCAACCACAGCCCTACATACTAGTGGAGGAGCTGAGGAGAGAACTTCCCCCTGAACAAGCAGAGTATTGCATCACGAGGATGCCAGCTTACACCGGCCATGGAGCACCACCTGGGGCGCTGGATTACACTGCCTTCTCCACTGCCCTCTATGGAGAGAGCGACCTTTAATCTGAGTAGAAAACCTTTCGTCTGCTGACCGCTTATCTATCCACCCCCACTCTCCCCTTCATTTTTTCTTATGTCACCTTGGATAAAGGATGGCCCCTAAACAAATAGAAATTGTCATGTTGGAGTTGTATTGTAACACACAGTGCATTGTACATTATATCTTGTGCGTTATGGTATTTGTGCATACATCGTCAAAATTACAGATCACTTGGTAATGCACTTAAAACAGGATCATGCTGTTACATCAGTTGAAGAAATTAGATATAAAAGTCCCGTTTCATATAACACTGTCATGTACTGCTTTTATATTTGCACACGGTGCCTTTGTTTTGACAAAATAATCTTCTGATACTTTGAGATGCTTAAATTTGAGCTTGAAAGGTCAATTTCAGGCCTACTGCCGTTCAGCGTTCTTGATTTAACATCCACAAGTTGAGAATCATTCAAGACAGCTAAACTATTGTGGAGGATAGTGAAATAATGGAATTTTTTGTGAAGAGGAACATTGGCCACTTTATTCAAACACGAGGCACTGGAGCACACTATCAATTTAATACTTTATTAAGATGCATGCAATACCCTTTAAAAGAAAAGTTTATTTTTACTGTAACAAATGAGCATTGCTTTAGTCATCACTGATCTCTGTAGGTCCAATAGATGTTCTCATTTTTGGTCAAAAACTGTTTTGTTGTACTTTGGTAGGTAAATAAGACATTCAGGCAGTACTGACACCTCGAAGAAATTTGGTGACTGTTATCAACCAGTTCAATAAACTTTGTTCTTGAGGGTACTGGATTAATTAAATAAACCATTTGTGATCAATTCAAACATTTATGTCAACCTGATATGTCATTGGTTATACTAAATCTTTTATTTGCAACTTGTCTGTATATTGGAAAATATATCACATAATTCACATATATAAAAACTGGAACCTGCTGTCACACCTGCACTAACAGAGGGGTCTTTTAAACTACTTATCTTGGGTCAGTAATCAGACAGTCTGAATTTATTATTCATACTGTATATGTAAGAGATTATAATTTGTATTTCTGTTGTCAAAAATTACAAGTTGTGGCCTGACCACTTCAATAATAGCACACACTGTTGGGGGAAGATACTGTATGTGTGAGGGTTGTGTTTACAAGCTAAGGACCTCCATATACTTTGCCAGAGAGAAAAGCTAACCTAATGAAATATATAGATTTTTTTGTTTTTAATATCTTTTTAAATGGTAAAGTAGTTTCAAACTTGAAACATCTGCAATGTCATCTTCAGAGGCTGCAAATATTTCTTTCCCCTTTTATATCAAATTGCTGGATGGGAAAAGCAATGTGTTAATGATTTAGCTTTTCTTAGAGCTATTGCCTCTCAGGGCTAAAATATAGAATTTGATCTCAGGATGGCATTGCAGAACAGGTCAGTGAAACAGAAAATTTAAAATGCTTCTTTTTGTGAGAAGCATGAATGTGGCTAGCAAACATCAGGGTAATCAGCCTATTACATTCTCCACTATCTTATGTGGAAGACGAATTTTAGCACAAGGGTGGTACGGAGGAAAGGTGATGTAACAAAATGAACTGGGATCCTCTGAGTGGAATGTCTGTCTTGGTGGAGTGTTAGCTATAGAAGGGGTCAGTGGTTCATTCAGGAGGCTTCAAGTGATAAATAAATAATTAACTTGCCTTGATTTGGAGTAATACTTTAAAGGACAATCGTGTTTCCCCAATCATTAGCACAAAGTTTTTGGAGCTCTCAAAGAAACTTCTGGGAAATTAAATACTGCATGAACACATTAAATAAAGCATTAAAACAAGACAATGTCAAGTCACTCACAGAAAATAAGATTTTTTTATGTAATCATGTAGAAACATTTTTCCAAAATGATACCCCAGCACAAACTATTAGAATATTTGTAAGTAAGCACTGAAAATAAATATTACTACTTATAAGTTAGCACGTAGACTACACTGTCAGGGAGCACTGACACTTTTTATATTCACAAAAAACCCCCACTATTTGTAGGTAGACTGTAAAGTTGACTATTCACCCAGAATATGGGTGTTATCCAGCAGACTACTATGAGATAATGTATATCAAATAACTGTAGAAGTGTAGATGCTTCAGGCCTGGACCCTTAATCTTCGTGGGTAAGAAAACAACGTGCTGGAAGCACTGTAAGAATCAGTGATATTTACAGACGAATATCATGTGAGCTGAAGTGGAGCTCTTTTGGAAAGCAAGCAGTTTTAACTTTTCTTCTCCTTCATGCTCATTCCAGTAGCAGGGTGTATAATACTGGAAACAGTCTCCCCCAGTTCAGAGCTAAAAGAACTTCGATTCTCAGACTCTGTTGTGATCTGGTGTCATAGATCTCTAAACACTAGTAAAGATGTTAAATATCTTGTCAGCTTAGAGAGTAGGGCCTTACGGATCAAGATACACATAGGCTGATGTCTTCTAAATGTTAGTATTGATCATCCCATCATTTCATAACACTCACAGTGGTGAGTGCAAATTGAATGACACTGTGCTAAGTGAGTGAGTGTATCTCTCTCTCTCCATGTATATATGTGTAACTGTTGAGAAGAAATGTGCACCAAGTTCTCTTGGTTTATTTCCCCATTACATTAAATATGCTTATCACCACCCCTGGAGTCAGACAGGGGACGCCCAGATGTTAACAGCAGGCTCCGCCCACATATTAACAGCTGTACACCTGCCTTCTCCTCCCTCTCCGGTCCTCCTCTCTGCTCCCCGCGCTGCCACCAAACTAAATTGCTAATGTCTGTCAAATGTGGTTGGCTTGGTTCAGATAATGACGGACTCAGGAGAAGGCGATGAAGAGTTCCAGTTTCTACGAACGGTGAGTCTAGACACTTTGCACAGGTAGAGGCTAGTCTGAAGTGATACCTGGCTAGCTAACATAACCTTACGAGCTCCACAGGTGAGAACAATTAGTCGTAACGAATGGAGCCAGTGAGTTCACAGAAGTGGGCGAAGAAGCATGAACATTTTCCTTATTAAGTAAAAGTGTTACTACAGCTCAGTTAAGTAAAAGGGCTGTGTTGGAAATGTTTAAGGCGAATGCACCGAATGCACTGACAGTATTAAAATACTCAGTGAAGAAAATGGGCTCTGGTTATAGATAATTTTCTTATGCATTAGCTAATGTGTAAGTTAAGCAGCATTTTATTTTTGTTGTTTGAGGGGAGACTCATTTTTAAACCGTTTTGTGTAGGACTGCAACTAATTATTATTTTTTATGGATTAGCCTAATTTCCTGACTGTTTTATCTGTTTAATAATGAGGATTGTCAAAAGTATTTTAAAAAATAAAACAACAAATTGCTACTTTAGAAAAGCTGTGTCCATGTATGTAATGTTTTGTAATTTCACATAAAAAATAGCCTGAAAAATTATTAATGGTTGCCAGTTAAGTTTCTTTCAGTCACTTAATTGAGTTCCAACTATATATGTTGGGTAATTTAATGTAAAATAAGGCATTATTTTATTAGATTCTCATATGTTTTGTTTATAAAATTGTAATTAGTAAAGCAACCCTAGATCAGACAATTGTAGTGGGTTTAAAAGCAGATCAAAATCCAGCAGATCTTGGGACAAGATTCATGCCCACGGGTCATCTAAAGCCCAGCACCTGGTTGTCTGGCCCAGAGTTCCTGACTCAGACTGATGTAGGACAATGCAGGAGAGCAGAAACCTTTGATCTCATGGACCCGACAAAGGATGCAGAAATTCGTCCACAAGTGACTTCCCTGGCTACAAGGGTCAAAGAAAGGGAGCTTGGGTCACAAAGGTCTGCATGTTTCTCAACCTGGAAGTCCTTAGTGAGAGGGATAAAAACCCTGATTCATGTTGCAAGAACATTTTCAAGGGCTTCGCACACCGGAAACTGTGCTGGTTGACACTGCTGCAATCTTCCAAACACCACAGAGCTCTCACAAGCAAAAACAATAATTATTCAGTGTGTACAGACTGAGGTCTTTAAAGAGGAGTTTGAAAGTCTCACAAAGGAACCCCCTGTCTCACAAAGGAACCCCCTGTTCCTTTGTGAGACTTTCTTCCTGCAGTCCTCTTAATAAGCTTGACCCCTTCATTGATAAGGAAGGTTTGCTGAGAGTCGGGGGTTGCTTGCAATCGGCAGATCTTTCAGATGTGGAAAAACACCCCTTGATAATCCCAGCCACTCATCATGTAGCTGTTCTGCTAGTAAGGCATTATCATGATACAGTAGCTGTCCAGGGCCGTCAGTTCACTGAAGGTGCTCTGCACACAGCAGGGCTGTGGATTGTTGGAGGTAAAAGACTAGTTTCTAGTGTGGTCCACAAATATGTTACCCATAGAAAACTTGGAGGTCATCTGGAAAAACAGAAAATGGCCAACTTGCCTGCTGACAGTTTCTGTGGATCCACCATTTACTCGTAGGTTTGGACATTTTCGGACCTTGGAATGTCACATCCCGCCACACAAGGGCAAATAGTGCTGAAAGCAAAAGGTGGGCTGTGATGTTTACATGCTTGAGTACCAGAGCTGTACACTTAGAGATTGTAGAGTCCATGTCAACCTCAAGTTTCATAAATGCCTTACGTCGATTCTTGTCAGTTAGAGGACCAGTGAAACTCCTACGGTCAGACCAAGGCACGAACTTCACTGGAGCCTGTAAGGAATTGAAAATCAGCGTTGAAGACCCAGAGATTAAAGGGTATTTGCAGGACCATGGCTGCACTTGCACAATCAATTTAAAATACTCAGGTAAAGTACAAGTATTGTACAGTACAATAGCACAGTAATAGCTGCAGTACAATGCAAGCAGTGTCTCAGGATACCAAACGTAGTTGCTTTTTAATGTGTCCAGCTTTGTTTGCTGCCTCTTTACTGACTTAAGCCAACCTGTTGACCATTTTTCTAAAGCATAAACTCAGCCTGAGTAGTCTAAGGGTATTTTCTTTTATTATTGTGTGAACCTTGCTTTTAATATTGCCAACTTTTTATTGACTTACTGTGGCAACCAAATTTGAACAGTTTAACATCAGTCAAAAACTTTATATCAAATTTTTATGAAGTGTCACCTTATGATGCACGTCCAAGACATCTCTTTATTAAAATAATGTTTTATTCATAAGTAGGAATAGCACAATGTATGAAGTAATACGTTTGAATTTATAAACCTGCTTTACTAGTGCACATCTTACAATAAGTTCCCATTTCCACTGATCCAGGAACACCAGAAGTTCTCTCACCTCCAATGATTCTGACCCAGAAGGCGGGTGTTGTGTCAGCGCCTCTTGGAGACTTCGAACTCAGGGACCTCTATAAAACCCAGTGGCGGCAAGTTCAAGGTCTTGCCGACTGTTTCTAGAAGAGATGGAGGCAAGAGTATCTTGCCGCATTACAGACAAGATGAAAATGGAAGGG